TAACACGCATTTCTTGAGGAGTAACATTTAATGAATTTTTCATTTATGAAGCCTGATCTATTAAAATATTTGATCTTTGTAATATTTTATTTACACGATATATTTGGTTCAATATAAAAATTTCCAATGGTCTAAAATAATTGTAAAACAATATTTCTTATATATTTTACTTATATAAAGTTTAAAATATTATTTTAAAAATGGTTGGCGACCCTTAAAACCATACAAACCATACAGCGCGATGCGCACAGGCCGTATGCCCCTTAGCACCACCCCCCACACACACACAGCACGGCTCAGGGAGTAATCAGTAATATTGTTCTGTGGTAATACCTAGGTAGTCCAATATGGTAACATTTTCGGGATAACCACTTAGATAAAGCCGATAAAGGTAATACCACTCCACTACCTATGCATATGCGCTATGCTCATTTACCTCTTACATTCATCTTACCTGCAGGCTCGTAGGCCGCATCTACTTATACTCTACAAAATAAAAAAGTAATTAGATACTAAAAATCATAGATAATAAAGAATCTTTATCTATGCTAAAAATTCGTTAATCAAAATAATGTGTGATGGCTCACAGGCCACAACCTCACAAGATTAGGTACCTATAAGAGGAAAAAAATGTATATAGTAATACAGCTAATTAATTAGTAAGGTAGGTACCCACCTAGTCGTAAATTAAAACCGACGCCACTGCAGTCTGCAGGATATGTTGCTAACTTTTTATGTGGACTTGAATGCCTRCCGATATAATATCGATAAACGATAGAAAAGCTGACGGCTATATTAGAAGCAAACGACTAGTGTACTATAGTGTACAGTCTTTACTGGCCGTTCTATTCAGATAGTAGGAGACATCTAAAGCCGGAGAGAGGATAATGAATGGAAGCGTCAACAATCTTGGACCTGAGTGACAAAAACACAACCAAATGGCAAATTGATACGAAGACCTAATCAGGCCATGACCCATGGTCGTATGTATTAAGTACACATTTTAACATTCTTAATAGTTATTTGTAATATTTGAAGAAAGACCAATGTGAATAATGTGGTAATGTGGTATACATTTTAGTATTGTGAAATAAACGATGTGTGACTGGGTGGAAGCCATACGAAAGCAATCCACACTAGATTTTACCAAGTTAGGTATATAGATAATAAAATGTATTAATATTTAAAATAAAAGTTATTAAGAGATTTAATCATATTATATAGGTGCATAACTGCATAACAGTGGCAGTCGGCAGAAAGAAAGGATCAATTTGCACGCAACTGCATCGACTTTTCGAAGGTGCCGAAGTTTATGTTCGACCTCTTTCGGTTACACTTTTTCACATCATAACTTTGTTACCAAAAAGTAAATAATGTATATATGTATATAGAAAGAGTGTATTGTAGGGTGCTGGTGTTAAATACCTAAATATGAAATTGTGTCACTTAAAATTTAAGTTTTGTTCGCCAATGCATAATAAATAACACATGATGGGTAGGTAAGGTATATAATATATATGATTTACATACGTTTTAGCTAGATATTAATTAAATATTTTTAGATGATCAGAATATTGGTACGGTCCATAGAATTTATAACAAAAGAAATCAAAAACGCGGAATACTGGTACTCTTCAAAATTTAATTTCCAGGGATCCTAAAATATTTACAAATTTACAACGTTTATTTATAGTTTTGATAAATTACCATCGTCATTATTCGTCAACAAGTTAAATTTAAATAATATGTTGAAAACAAAAAAATAATGTTAGAAATAAAAATGAACAAAGCACACAAATAATAAGTTCATACAAAATAGTTGATAATTAAAATAAATATACAATAAATACAATATATAACTTATGATCAATTATAAATTAATAGGTAGTAAATAAACATATAGACAACTATTTCGTACACTTAGCTTAGCTAAGTTAGCTAGATACCTATATTATTTAAAAATTGTCCTATATTAATCTCTTTTTATTATTAATAGCTCTCACATTCATTATGTAGTTTATCTTGCAAATTATTATTTTTTTGAACTTTTAGGCATTAAGGTGTTATTTGTATTGTGTGTTCTTTCAATTCGTGTTATTGTTGCTTCATCTTGTTGGATAYCTACATTTAACTACCAACCAAAATGATGGATTATTTGTTCTGTTGCCATTATTTAAAGTAATTTCATGCACATTCCAAAAGCGAAGAGAAAATATCGGGCTCCCAAACTTCCCACTAACATAAGTTTTGTAAAAATAATTTAGCAATGGTAACAATTTTACAGRTGTCGTCGTATGTAAATAAATCATTCCATCTATTACTTCACTAAGGGGTAAAAATGCTAAAGCGTTAATCGTTAATCATACCATAATTTATTCTAAAATCTAAGTTTGTAAAACCTTGACTATTGTGGATCGTACCAGTATTCCGCATTTATAAAGACCGTACCAGTTTTCCGTATTTTTAAATGTTACCGTATCGATATGTTTAACCGGTAGACGGCGGGTACCTATGTAAAATAAATTTCAACAATCTGTACCTATCATAACAGTTTTGTCACAGAATGTATAATGTTAATTTTTTTGACGCAGTTTACCTACCTACCATATCCACTTCTGGAATAATGGAAATTTTGCCATAATTTACATACAGCTGACAATGACCATTGACCGCTATTAGAAATTCAATTAATCACTATTAACTAAGTTGATATTATTCTTCATATTAACATTTAATTTTTAGAGCTAAGTAGGTGAATATAWTTTGAATTGTTTTTTACAACCATTAACTTATTGTTTTGATCAGTTCAATCAAAATTGACAAACATGTTTCATATTCTGCAACGGTTCAACTAAAAAATTTCTTGAGTCATTACTAATACGTAGGTAATGAATAAGATAACATAGAATATAATTTTTAATTTTTCTTATTTATATAGGTACGTTAAGCACCAACCATTTTAAGTTATCAACAATGGATTTAAATTGAATTAATGTAGTATGTTACGATATAATTTAAAAAAWTTTTTTTTAATTTTTTCAACTGGTGGTAGGTACTATATGAGGGGTCTGTGTAYAAATTAAATACCAGGATATATTTATATTACCAGGATCTGTAATCAGTACTGTACAATATTTTAGCGATTCATACATAACTCTATATAATTCTGTAAGGCGCCCTTTTAAAAATGGTTTTGGAGGAAATAAATTTCTGGTTCCTGATGAAACATTCCCAAATATCGAACTTGTCAATAGTTTTATATTGTTCAKAAAAAATACCCCACATTTTTTAATGCATTCAGTTTTGAGTTTAGAATGTTTAGATTATGAAATTTTAGTTGTAAAAATCCTAATATTACTTTCTTGGATAGAGATTTTCTATTAGTTCTTTATTTTCTTATCAAAAATGATATTTTATAATAAGGATATTTTTTTAAATAATTTAATACAATACATTGCGTTATACATTACTAAATAATATTTTAAATAAGTATAATAAGTGATCAGCGTATTAAAATAATGTTGTAGCAACATTAATACAAAATAATCAGTTTATAAAAATAGTATGGCAAAATTTGGTGTAATAAAATTGTTTACAATTAAAGGCATTTCATGAAATTAATTAAAAGTGAAATAGTATCAGTGTAAAAATACATAATAACCTTAATAAAATAGCTATAAATGTTTAGCAATATAAAATCAAAATATGGTTATACTATTTGTTTTAATTAGTCTTTCTAGGTACTACTTAACTCTGTATAAACAACTCAATAGTAAAAAATATATCATTTTTTYTTTCAAACAATATGCACACAAAATTGTGCAATTTAACAAGATAAAATGTTTTTTTTATATAATAAATTTGTTTAACTCAATCATATTAATAAATACAATTTTATGTTTAAAAATTCAAATCAATACAATTGTCACACACATGCACTAATAACTAAACGCATATGAAAAGGCCAGCATAAGACCACAACATAAATATATATACAAATTGTTTAAACAATTAATGAGGAGAAAAAAAACAATACATTACATAAATATAGTATATAATTAAATAGTTAAAAAATAAGAGTCTAGGACCAAGGTCTAGGCACAAACTCATAATTATTTAGCCTTTTTGTGTACAACCCAACCGCCAGTGTACGTACGCGCAAAATGACCAGTTCTGCGTAAGCGGCCTGCAAAAGTTAAAAAAAAAAAAAATTAAATGTAGTCAAAATAAATTATATGTTCCCAGACAATAATCCAACCATCACCAAAGGTTTATGTTTTAATTTTAATAGCAGCAACATTGAGCAGCAGCAACTCTACAGTATACATGAATTTAAAAAGCATTATATTATGTATGATTATTATTGAAATACATAAAAAAATGTGTAAATCAAAGCATTAAAGGACTTACCAATAATGACGTACAACATAATTGCATGATTATTCGGGTGACTAAGGTACTTGGATTTGGCGAGGAAATAGAAAATAAGGGTATTATTCAACTTTTCAAAAGCCAGTTTCACCAAAAAAAGTTAATTTTAACATTTTTAACAATATTAGATTTTAAAAATAAAAATATTATTTAAATATTATTTAATTTAATTTTAAGTTGCAAATATCAGTATATTTGAAAATTCGTCTTTAATAATTTTCATGACATTTTTTGAAAGTGGACTTTAACAAATATTGTGTTAAATTTTTAAATCAGAATATTTTTCGGGTTTCAATCTATTAAAAAATTTCATGAGTTTATAATTATATTCAGTTCATTGTATATACACACACACATATATGTTATGCGTATAAATGCAATTATGCATGTTGTAAGGTAAGTGTATGTGTGTATAATATATGTAATCAACATTTAAGTAAAAGTTCAATGGATTATTCTTAAATTAACAATCATGAATAAGTTGTATGATAATTAATAAGTATTAACCATGTCAACCACAAAATATGTTTTTCTCAAAATTATTAAGTACAACACTGAGGAAAATGATGTGCACTGTAATGGTATTTTGTTTTTTTAACTATTAAGTGATTTTTTGTACACAATTAGTTAAAAACATAAATATTTATGTAATGTTCTGAAGGAGGATACAAAATGAAATCGTGTTTCATGAAAATATAAACGCATGCAATGTTAAAAAACAGTATAAACCTACTAACAATGCACTTTACAAGCTATTAAAATACTTCAAGAAATTATATAAGAATGATATAATAATAGTAATTGATTTGAGAAGTAGCTTAACTTTATTTATTTTATTTTTTATATAATAAACACGAAAAAATTGTATAAAAATTATTTGCAATTCAAGCAATAAAAAAGCGTTTCCATAAGCACAAGCAAAGATAATATAATAAGAAGTATCTTATTTGTTTTCAATATTATTAATGTAAATATACCTAAATAGTGTACGTAGCCAAAATATGTAATTTATGCGGAGTTTGCGCCCACACGGCTCTGGCGTACTGCAAAAGAGAAAAACACCAAAAACCAAATTCAGATTATGGTTTACTCAAACATTTTGCAGTATTACCAATCACCAAAGGTTCTGTGGTTTTTGGTAACACGCGATCTGAATGAAAACACAATGCTTTCCTTCAGTCAACATGCTAAAATTCATGTGAATATTTTAAAAACAAAACAATGTTAAACAAACACCATGCGTGTTATTTATAATTGTAATATTAAGTATTAATATTAGTTTCAAATATTATAGTTACTTATCCTAAACAGTTTTAGCTTAAAATTAATAAGTAAATTACGTAACTTATAATGTATATTTAAATGTAGATATTATTTATACAAAAAAGCATTAATAAATTATTTATTGTTATTATACCTATTAATTATCCTATAAACAATAATATAGCTAATTTTGAAAAACATATAATTATTGTAATCAGTCAATTCATATAAAACCTTCTTCTTTTACAACTTTTTAGAAGTTAAATATTTTAAAATAAATTTGAGAAATCTTAAAGAAATTTAAGAATTTTAGTATTTATTGAAATGTGCAATTTCTATAAATTTTGATTTAAGAAATATTGTTGTAAATCCTGATGTTAAATGTGCAATTTCTATAAATTTAGTTCAATCATACTAAACTAATAAATGTAGAAAAAATGTACAAACACAGGACCCAAGTATTGGAATATTGTATAATTCACCCAGACTAGAGAGAAGGGTGTATCAATTTACACTAATTCAAAGATTAAGTGTTAATATCAGCACACAGTTTATTATCTTTCTCTAACCAAAACACAACATATCAAAATTACATTCAGCAGAACCAATCCTATGTTATAATTTTAAGWAATAAAGTGAATTCACTAATTACTAAACACTGTCTGTTATTATGTTGGCATTTTCACAATATTTAAATTTGAATGTGAATTATAGCCTATTAGTATTGTAACAATTTAAAAATTTCAAGAACACAGAAAATATTTTTAACTTATAAAGTCTGATAATTGATACATTCACTATAATATAGTGTACATATCAGTATAATAAACAAAAAACCTTAAAATACTAAGTTAGTTTTACCAAAAATAAACATAYCATGTTGTGCATGAGTTAAAGAAAAAAAACAAAAAAGTGCGCTGAATCTTCTTAAGTAGTTAAGAATTATTAGTTATTTTGATTATATTTTAGTATGATAAAATTATCTACAGAATATTAGAACATAAAAATTTAAATGATGTATGATCCAGCTCTTCATGAAATGCAACTTGAATTCCCCTTTAATGTGACAATTTAATCAATTAATGAGTAAATAACATCATGATTGCATACATTAAAATGTATACATAACATTGTTATTGAAAATGCTAAAATAAAATTAGAACTAGTCAAATTTAAAWTTGATGTATTCTAAAATATTTTAAGGTTAATGTGTTATTTCACACTCTAAAACACGATTTCATTACAAATTAAAATGCGAATGGCCAAAGTAATACATTACATCAGTTATATATCTAAACATTAAGAGCTGGTAATTTCATGCTATTCCTTTTAAGTAGTAAAATTAAACAACAACAAAATTTCAAGACCTCAATAATGTAATCCGCCGATCATTTATTTGATCAAGTTCTTGCGGTGCTTCTGGGGTGTTTTTCTAAAGAACCTAAATTTCATTTTCAACGGCGTGTCTTTTCTTACTGAAGGTAGAAAATAAACAAAAATAAAATCATTAAACTAACGTCATTGATTGAGATAAGGATAAAAAATGTATAAGGAATATTAAAGTGTTATAATTAAAAAAACTATTTATTATGTTTTGGCATTCAATTTAAGTATTAATTAATGAGGATTAATGTAAATGGGCAAACATAATTTTTGTGGTTAAAATTCAATATAAAATTYAAATAAATAGGAACAACTACATTTCCTAAAAAGGTGATTTCACTATTAACTACATTATGTATATTTAAGAAATATCATCACTCAGAAGGTATTCAAAGGATATAATAAATAGATTTYGCAATCAATTACATATTTGATTAAGTATGAGAAAAATAACAGAATAAATGGTTAAGACTCAGGTCAGCTGAATTTCAAACAAAAAATATGTACATGATTATAACACAAACTGTACGACAATGGAAACATACAAATATTATTCAGTTGATACAATTTCAAAACTCGACTGATTATTGTGTTTAGTTTCAGCCAATTTGAATTTAGCTTGGACGCCAAGGCGGCAATCTGATGATTGGCAATAATTGATAAATGATTGTAAACAAAATCATAATAAAAATAAATAAATATTTTGAATGGCCTTTATGGACACTAATATAGATCATGCATTTACATATATTTTAACTTTTAATGTTTTATGTAAAGAAAAAAACCCAAACATAGATAAACAAAGGAATAAGGGAACTTGATAAAACATGATCGGACATCATACCTGGAACTAAGATGTCAACAACAACACATAAGCCTCTACGTGACTTAATACTTAGGCCAAAAATTTGAATGATTGATACACATAACTATCAATTTCTAATAGTTATAATTCTTATATATAGCTTTAAAATTATAAATTGTTAATTAAAAAGTCCAKAAAATGACATTATTAACCAATAAAATATAAATAGAATCTAAATTTAATTTCTAAATGAATAATATTGATAAATTAATTCATTTAATAATCTAGATTCTAGGAGATGGGAAATTCAAAATATATAAATAGTCTTATGTTATAACACAAGACCAAATTAATATAACAATTAAACCTAATATAATCAAATAATAATTTGAATTATTATAGAAAAAAATKTTGTGAGCCTAATAAGAACAAAGTTAGCACTATTACTGTTAAGTGTTAACTCTATTTCCACAAATTCTATATTGTAAAAAGAAAATTTATTTTTTCATAAAAAAAATACAAGATCTAGTTAGTTAAAAATTACAAAACCAATATATTATCTTATTGATTAATAATCATGGCTGGACATTTTTATGTTTAAATAACCATAATCCCTAAATATCAGAATGATCTTAAAAAAAAATGTTATTGAACTATTTTTAAACAATAATAACCAATTATTATTATTATTAATATTTGATTTTAAGAATGGTTAAGTAAACTTACTCCTGTCAATATTGCGTTGTAAATGTGATGCAATGCGATGACGAGCATCATTGTACTCCAAATGTAAACCAAGTCTAAGAATGGTTGGATTTTGTTCAATCAATTTAGTAAGTTCCATTTCTATCTTATTTCCCAATACTTGGGATCTCTGAAAATAGAATAATTAATTAAAAATTTGACCTAGAATTATTATTTGAAATCGCCAAAAAAATGTACCTGGTTAGTGGCACGGAATTCTTCCAAAGATCTCTGTTTCAATAAAGACTTGACTAAATGAATTATTCCTACAGGGCTAATAAAATTTGTTTCCACACTAAACAAATCATAAAAAGATGAAAAATATTTATTTTATTCTTTTAATGTAACAATTATGAGAATATAACTATAATATTTGGTAAAAACAGAAAATTAGTTATTTTATTAATAGCAATCTTACTTGCAAACACGTAATGTGCAATTTTTTTCTAATGCTTCAGCTAGCTTGTCTGCTAACCGATCAGTAAGTCCAACATTTACCAAACTTAATGTTTCTAAATGAGTATTTTCCACTAAAGCATTGAATAGACTCTCAAACTTTTCATCAGAAATATTCTAGGATAAGAAATATTATTATATCACTTTACAATTACTAGACATTTTGTAATTTAACTAATGATATATACAATGAACTAAAAATTTTTCAAATTAGTCGAGAGCAAAAAAGAAAAAATTTGTTAGCACAAATTGAAATGTGGTGGTCTAGACATTCCTTTGAGTTATCAAAAATTMAATTTATAGACATTTAAGTTATCAAGATTTCACTGTATACACTTTTATATTCAAACAAATAAATAAATAATGTACTTACTTTAATGTTGTTCCAATTGAGATCAAGTAGCTTAGGATCATCATCACGYACCCGTTTAATACTTTCTTCTGGATCTGTTTGATTGGGTGGTTCTGGGGGATAAACCTTAGGCTGTGTTGCCTTAGTAACACCATCCCATCCTAAGCCAACTGGCTGACCTTTATTCAATAGTGAAGCATGGTATTGGTCTTGGTTCATCATTGAATGGAATCCTAGTATAGCTAAAATTATAGTTTAATGAAATAAACCAATTTTAATTACATAGTATACTTAAATATACAAATATTAAGTAGGAATGTTACAACTTTGAAGTTACAAAACGGTCAAAAAGTATAAAAGAGGGGCATTTAATTTGTCTCCCTTAAATGTACTAGATTAATCAACTAATGTTCATAGAAATGAATTACAGAAAATATATATATAAATACCGGCCAAATCTATGATTTCTTCTTGTGATGCGGTATTTAATGCATCACCATATTCATCATCAAGATCAATGGCAATTTTATCTTCATGTTCAGTGTTACCATTGGTTTCAGGTGCCACCCACTGTAACAAATTTAGTACAGAATAATCATAATTTAAAATTTAAAAATAGTTTAAGGCTACAAACATATTTACTGTGGTCCTCATAGCATGAAACTAAGTTAATTTTGTTTATACTCTATATTACAAAACAATTTCATAATATGTTCAAATAAACAAAAATACCGATAAAAATTTGAAGGATAAATGGACGATTTCTTTAGGAAGATTGCCAAAACTATACTAAATTCATAACTTTAATACATTCTAGTATTCTACTGTAATTCAGAATTCTTCAGGAATTAGTTTAAAAATTGTCAAATCTACTTTTAATTTTTAAATTAGGAACCTAGCCTATATTTAAAAGTTATTGATATTATATTTACTCTTTAAATAATATTCACATTAAAACTTTGATATTATGTTATACAAACTTTCTCTAAAATTGAAACAGGAAATAATCAACTCTTATCATATTAAACTACATAATTTGTACCTTTAATTGAATGATTTTATACTCAACTCCAAAATGTACTAACAGTATTTTGAACCAAATACATAGAATTGGAGCACATAAATATAAAAATTTGCAAATTTTTTCTGGATGAATTGTGATATGTTAACAATATATTTTTGTTTCATGAAATTGTGATTCAAAATAGTTTTTTTTTAGTATATATTATTGACTATTATGTGTTAATATGTAATTGTTTTTAAACGTTTAGTGCAGGCACGCCCGCAGAGAGAGATGTAGCTCACTAGGTGCAAAATATTTTTAGTGTCAATACCAATACCAATGAATCAGCTTATTAGCAATACATTTTATTGATACATTAGTTTAATTTTTAATATTATATCTAAGTAGAGCTTTAGAGTTTGAGAAAATGTATTTTTGTTTGTTGTAGTACATAGCTTTTTTTACTAGTTCAGTAGTTATCAGTAGTTAATTTTAAAATTTTAATCTCAATTTCCAGCATTAAATGTAATTATTTTAAAATGCAATTAAAATATGAATATAAGTATATACAGAGTGATTCAACATTTTGTTTCAGCCATTTTATCATAAAATATTCAAAATATTGAATAATATATGCAATTTAGTGGTATATTTTAGAGGTTCAAAAAATCATAACAAAACCTAAGACTGTCATAAAGTATGTAGTTTACTGGCAAACAYGTTCTACCAGCTGCTGTAGGATGTGATTTACCTGTGACCAGCTGGTTTTTACGCGCGCCCAAGTTTATCTTTAAAAGATACAGTTTAATCTTTTTCTTCAGTGAACACTTTGTCTTAATAGCCTTATACTGTATGACTTTCAATAACAATACTTAGACATATTGTAAATATATGGACTCAAACGCTCAGTACGTCACTTATAATGCGACACTACAATTTATATGCAGTCATAAACTCAATATGTTAAAAATATGTATGGTACAAGTCCTGACCTCATTTTGAGATAAAATTATTGTAAGTTATATATAATTTAACATAATAAATATGATACAAATGGTATATATTTCGGGTATTTAATGGGGATWTGGTGGCGTGGAATAAATAAATGGATTTTTGAGAAATATGGTGGCAGTTTTTGTAATTTTAATTGTTGCTATACTGAATGAACATAAAACATCACAATATTCATTATTCTTGGCAACAATTTTTTTGAAAAACCTATTTTGTAATTATTAATTTATTTGTAAAATGATTTACAACTATGTATATAGTATATATATATATATATATTTTTTTTTAAGCTGCCTGTAGACTGCATACTATATTTGTAAAGACATGGGTAAACCACATACTATATGATAGCTTAATCAAAATTATGGTTAACAATTGATGACAAATTTCATAATTATTATCTAATATCTTGGTACCAGTTTAATATATAAAAACATCAAAGAAAAAATAGTTCTAAAAAAGTGTCAACAAAATATTTCTTTCCTAAAAAAAAATAAATTTAACCTAATATAAATATATTCTGGTGTACTGTGATCTTACCTTTTTTCCCCGTATAGTTCCAGCAACATATGGTTTAATTTCTGGAAGATCAGGCGTTTCTAAAGCCTGTTTATTAATGTGTTCGATCAGTTTTTTTCTGTTTAATGGTCCGGTGGCTTCTTTGTTACATTCATAACTACAACGCTCTGATGGTGGTAATAAGTTGTCCTGAAAAAAGGTACTGTTAATTTTTTTATGTTTAGTACTTACCTAAGTATGTATAGTAATAGTTAAACATATATTTCTTATATGATGTAATTTAATAGTTACATATTTCTTCAAGAGTAAGCAATCTAACAACATTTTAAAGATATAATAATCCAGTAGGTACTCAGTAAATGAAATGGAAACATATTTACAMGGTTTCAAAACCCTATACATTTGGATTCTGTTTGCTAATATAATTAGGTATACCTACATCATTTAAAATGGAAGAATTATAATTATCATATAAATGTCACAAATGGTCACTAGTTACATGTGTTATGCTATAAAATTGTGACAAATGTAAATGCACTGTGACTTATGCGACAAATAATTTTATGTGAACAAATGGGCCTAGTACTGAAATTTAGGTACTTACATCTGGATCAACTTCTTTGGCCAAAATGCTGATTTCTTCTGGTGACAATTGAGAGAGAAGTTGGTCGACATCGAGCTCGTCGTATTCGCTCAGGTTCTTGCCATACAGCTTGGCCGGGGCGGTGGTCATGGTAGTGGTCTTTTTTGACGACGTCTGTGGAGAACAACAGAAAAGTGACAATTATTATTGGGACTGGTAAAAATGTACACAAGAAGCGCTAAAAATGGGCGTGGGTTGGTTGTGAGCATCAAAGTACTTGTGATWATAACAAACGGTTCATGCTAAACGGACGGCCGACGGGTCGCGATTTGCGACGGAGGAACCGAAAAACGACAATAGGAAAGCCGTTTGAAACGATAAGCGGGGTCCACACCCTAGTGTGAAAAAAATCAATACGCGGCGGCTCAAACGGATCTCACCACCTCCACCGAAAATCCTACGGCGGCTGGAAAAGGCAATTGGTTACGCGCGAGCATTTGGTGACAAACTGACAACCGTACACGTACCGTTTGTTTGACTCTACGGCAAAATCGAATAATAAATTCGCGTTAGCAGTTACGTTTTCGGCCGGTGACAACAAGTGACGAGCGGAACAACTAGCTGACGGCTGTTGGAAGTTGGAATCACTGAAACACCAGACAAGCTGATTGCTGGAAAGCGACTGGAATAGTGAAATAGAAGGAGTATTACAACTGGTGGACTGGTCGTCTGGTGAGTGGGGACTGGAGGAGAGATGTCGTATTGTCGTTTGYTCGTTTGCCACCAGTCACTACCAAAAGGTGGTAGGAAATTGTTATCAAATGACATCATTTTGTAGGTATGGCGGGGAAAGGTTGATTGGCAGTGGTGGAGGTAACGCGCGCGCACAATTTATGTTAAACTGGTGGAGATCGCAATTCGCATTATACGCAACCGTATGGCGTATGCATATCGCATATTATGCATAAGCATAACCATGCCTGTTATTTCTGTTATACTATTTTTTTATAGTATGGCACAGTACAATACGCATAGCCATAATGAACTATGAAGTCATTAAAACTAATTTTAATTGTGGGCCGTGAAGAGTCATGTGGGTACTGGGTATTTACTATTTACTGGCTGTAAACAGTATAAATTCGTGTACAGAATACAGAATGCGATAYAACGATGGGTACTTCAGTGCTAACTGTTAGTAGAGTACGCTTCTTTTGAATTGAAAAATGTTTTGAGTGTTTTAACCTGACAGTTTGCGAATCCCAGTTTAAAATGTAGATCCTATCGTACAATTCGAATTCAAACAACGAAGTCGGTGTATAGCCGTAAGCCGATCGTATTTTGTAATAATAATATAGTATCAGTTATTCGCCCAGCGGTTACCGACTAACCGACTTACTAATTACCACGGTCACTGGTCACCGGCTCGGCAAAAAAACATTACAGCAATAAAATTTGTGTTTGGGTTTAGCGGTTTCCCCCTTCTACCACTCCCCCTCACATCAATCTTGCCGTTGCGCGTCGTATCTATCGTCATCGACGTCATCGTCTTTCGTTCCGCAGGTCGGTCGCACGCGCTCCTCCAACGCGTCCGGTGCACGTAGCCGCGTAGGTATATAATATTACGACGTCGAGGAATGAGTACTTATGTAATAACATAGCATTATTATGTATGGCTTTAACAGGTAAGTTATTATAGTCGGTATAGTCTAGCCACCGGCACTACGGCACTACCGTTCATTAGCGTTCTCAGCCATTGAATATCATTGTAACAATAACGGGCTATAAAGCTGTATAGATTATTATACATCATGAATTCATGACCATCATGCATAACATAGGTACAATTTTGGTTTTGCACATTGTCTGTTTAAGTGTTTACCCGCGCCAAAATATCGTAAATCATAAATATTCGAGCATCAACTTATTAATCAATAGCAATAGAAGGGTTAAAAAATAAAATAATGAAAAGTACAACAGTTGAAAATGTAAAATATAATTGTATTTATTTATTTTTATTTAACCAATGTTCAAGATGGTTTTTTGAGTGGAAAATATAAAGGATATATCAAAAAAGAAGTTAATACATATTTAACTTAACTACAAAAATTAAACAAATGATAAATTGTTAACAAGCGGATAAAAAATATATAGTAGGTACTAGATCTATAAAAAAGATAAGGTGTGATCGAAATTTGTTATATACATTCTACACACATCGACGGAGTGGTTGGTTGATCTTGATAGCATAGTAAGAATAATAKAATGGGACATTGTAATATAAATTACAATATTATAATTAGGTACCTAATAAAATTACAAATCAATTGGTGATATCTATGGATTAGTCGTCCACTTATCTAAGTAAATGTTTTAGTCTTGTCATTACATTATGCGTATAGTTATATATTTCAAAATAAAAATACCTGTACGGTATACATAATATTTGAAAATTGTATTTTACGAGCATCATTTTTAAAATAATAATTGTTCAATGTTTTATAAGCGCGCTGATAACTTGTGTAACTGAATATTAAAAAAAGCGGGTAAGTGGATGTCGCTCTGCTGTACATTAGGTGGTGGGATGAACCTCTGACTAGGGTAGGTTAGTTTTGAATGCAATGATAGGTATCATTGTATACGAAAAACGATTCTGAACGGAGATGATTTCAGTCTAGGATATATTATAGATAATTCAAAATTTTCAAATCTTTGATTTAAAAAGAAAATTTTGTATA